AGCCTGGGTAACAACAGTGAAACTCCATCTCAGGAAAAGAAAAAAAAAAAAAAATGCAGTATCAGTGATATTTCACGCGTTTTATTTTTTGAGACAGGGTCTCACTCTGTTGCCCAGGCTGGAGGACAGTGGTGTGATCTCAACTAGCTGCACCTCTGCCTCCTGGGCTCAAGCAATCCTCCCATTTCAGCCTCCCAAGTAGCTAGGACTACAGGTGTATGCCACCACAATCAGCTAATTTATTTATTTATTTTTTTTTTGTAGAGACGAGGTCTCACTATATTGCCCAAGCTGGTCTCGAACTCCTGAGCTCATGCAATCCTCCTAACTCAGTCTCCCAAAGTGCTGGGATTACAGGGGTGAGCCACCACACCTGACCAACCTATTTTAAATTTATAATGGATGCTCTATTGTTAATGTCCATTAACTTGATTGCTCTTCCTTCTTTTCAATGTTAAGAAAATGTTCACAAACATGTTCCCTTTATTATGAATAATAAATATACTAGGAGACTTTTTTCTCAGTGTCTAGTTATTCAAGTGTTTAATATGATCCCTGCAGGGAGCAGTGGCCTATACCTGTAATCCCAGCACTTTGGGAGGCCTAATCAGGTGGATCACTTGAGGTCAGGAGATCAAGACCAATCTGGCCAACATGGTAAAACCCCGTCTCTACTAAAAGTACAAAAATCAGCCAAGTATGGTGGCATATGCCTGTAGTCCCAGCTACTCGGGAGGCTGAGGCAGGAGAATTGCTTGAACCTGGGAGGCAGAGGTTGCAGTGAGCTGAGATTACACCACCGCTCTCCAGCCTGGGTAACAGAGTGAGACTATCTCAAAAAAAAAAAAAAAAAAAAAAAAGGTGGTAAATATGATTCTGATTTTTACAACTCAAAGTTGTTAGCCTCCACCTTACGAGCATATCACAGCTTCTGACTTCACTGAGGTAACAGATGTGACATCCTATCTTGAGATTCATCTGCTCAACAAATATTTAGGGATAACTGTGGTTTTGTTCAGCACTAGAGTAAAGTACAAGACAGACATAGTCCCTGCCCACAGGCAGCTACCGAAAAAATAAAGGATTTGGTGAAATCTTTTCTCCTAGACCCATTGTTGCCCTACCCAAAGCCCCTTTACCCAGCCATTGCATTCAACCCCCATTTTCCGTGTAAGTTGCAAACAGTTCACAGCTGCTCTTTTCTCCTTATCAGCAAGAAAATGCCTGAAAGCTTACTCATGTCCCTGCCCCAGAGATGACCCTTAGTCAACGACAATAAACGGGTACAAAAGCCAGACCCCACTGCTTTGAAATGGAATAACTCATGCCATTCATGCTTCAAAACACCCTGTGAGATCAGGCTACAACTGTAGGTCTGTTGAAACCACATCTTTGCTTAGCTTTTTCCAGTCCCATCCTGCAGTCCCTATTCTCTACAGGTTTTTACTAAGAACATTCCCTAATAAATCATTTGTACAAGAATTGCCCTTCATTTCTGCTTTAAACTTATTCGATGACATGTAAATTTCACTTACTCAGCACAGGTAGAGTCATACTTCTTGATGCTCCTTCTCAATTCCCATAGGTAGCGTTGCCAGATTTAGCAAATAAAAACGCAGAATGCCCAGCTAAATTTAAATTTCAGATAAACGGCCAGGCGCACTGGCTCACATCTGCAATCCCGGCACTTTAGAAGGCTGAGGCAGGCAGATGGCTTGAGCCCAGGAGTTTGAGACCAGCCTGGGCAAGCAACATGTTTACTTAAAAAATACAAAAATTAGCTGGGTATGGTGGCATCTGTAGTCTCAGCTACTTGGCTGGGGTGGGAGGATCACTTTGAGACCAGGAGGCAAAGGTTGCAGTGAGCCATGATGGTGCCACTGCATTCCAGCCTGGGCAACACAGTAAGACCCTGTCTCAGAAAAAAAAATAAAAATTATGTTACAGTGGGTGGCTAGTCAGGTACCAAGAGGGCAAGAGAGCGCTCCCCACCCCACACACCAGGAATCTCGGGCAACCATCAGGTGATGATCCGGGGTTTTTAACTGTTGCGCTAAGGTAATAATTGGTCACAGCTGGTGTCAGGGATAGGCAGTCTCCTAACAGATAGAAAACACCTGAAACTGATGATCAGCAGCTTCCCCAAGATCTCAGGAGTTGGGTGAGTGGGGAGAAGTAATGCAAGACCCAGGAAGTATGCCAAGGTATAAAACCACAAGTAAAAAGGTCAAGCTGCGTACTTGATCTCTCAAGTAATCCACGTGGGCCTCCTCATCTTTACTTCTTTTCTTTCCTGCTCTAATGCTTCTTAATGAACTTTCACTCCTGCTCTAAAACCTGCTCAGTCTTTCCTGCCTCATGCCCCTCAGTCGAATTCTTTCTCCTGAAGAGGTAAGAATTGAGGTTGCGGCTAGGCGTGATGGCTCACACCTGTAATCCCAGCACTTTGGGAGGCCAAGGTGGGAGCACCTGAGGTCTGGAGTTTGCGACCAGCCTGATCAACATGGAGAAACCCTGTCTCTACTAAAAATACAAAATTAGCTGGGTGTGGTGGCGCATGCCTGTAATCCCAGCTACTTGGGAGGCTGAGGCAGGAGAATCGCTTGAACCTGGGAGGCAGAGGCTGCAGTGAGCCAAGATCATAGCATTGCACTCCACCCTGGACAACAAGAGCAAAACTCCATCTCAAAACATATACACACACACACACACACACACACACACACACACAACAAGAATTGAGGTTGCTGCAGACTCGTACGGATACAGAAACATTCCACTGGTAACATATTTTGGTGCCGTGTGACCTGGGTAATTTCCACTGCTAACATTCAGATAGACAATGAATAATTTATTAGTGTAAGTATGTCCCATGCAATATTTGGGACATATTTACTTATACCAAAAAATTATTTGTTATTTGCCTGAAATTCAAATTTACCTGGGAATCCTGTATTTTATCCAGCAACCACATTCCCAGGGTTTTTACAGTTACAGCTCTGTCTTCCATAGCTCCCAACCAAGCACAGATCTCAGCACCACCCCCTACATTTCATCTCTCCATCCTATTCAACAGCACTAATTTGGTGTCCTAAGGCCCAAATGTACTTTCCTCATCTTCCTATTATCTCTCCCCAGATTCCACTGCAAAAATTGATACCATTTTCCAAAGCTTCAGTTTTGTCATTATATTGTCAATACTGTCCTTTTTCTAATTATGAAACTCCTGATATTTCTAATTATGGGAGTTTCTAAATATGAAACTCCCAATGGAAGTGACTTACAACTTTCATACAATAAAATTTAAACACTCTTGTCTGCTACAAAAGCACCTTAAAGTAAATATTCATTATTATAATTTTGCATAAAAAGAATCTGGGATTAGAAAGAGATAATTGTATTCAACAATTGCAGGTAAGACAATAAGTGAGAAAAGATGATGCTACAGCATGAAGTTATTGTTAATGAGTGAATTAAGATAATTTAAATGCATACCAGTGTTCTGTAACACCTGTCAGTTAGAGGAGTAATGACAAGTCGAGGTGAGTTACCAAGATATTCATAAGCATATTTTACATTGCAATTAATGATACGAACTCGGGCGTTCTCATTTTCCCAGTAATACCGGAGCTGAGCAAGCCACTGGAAATCTGTATCATGTGAGACACCTAGAAAGAATAAAATAAGATGCATAATCCTTAAATGGAAATAATTTGAAAAATAAGTATTTTATCTTTTATAACAGCAAATATTAAAATAATTCATGTTTGCCAACTTATAAAAAAGATTGTGTTAAACAAATTCTATTGAGAGAAAAATACATATAGTACAAGTCTTTGTTTCCAGATGCTATCAACATTTTATCTTTAAAAATAAAGAAAAAGTCACATACCCATTTCAATCATGTCCATAACCACATCTCTAGCATGGACATCAATAGTAACCAAAGCCCCCAGAGTGGTCCTGGTCTGCTTAGACAGTTTTCCTCTTACCAGCTCTACAATATCATTCAGTTGGTTCTGAAGTTCCTTATAGTACTTCTTTAATCCCTACAAAATAAAAAAAGCAATCTAATTGATGTCATATCACACTTAAAACAAGTATTTTATATATGTAGTCTTTCATAAAACAATTCTGAATTGATAATCTACGGGTTCAAGTGATTCTCCTGCTTCAGCCTCCTGAGTAGGTGGGACTACAGGCATGCACCAGTAGATCTGGCTAATTTTTTGTATTTGTAACAGAGACAGGATTTCACCATGTTGGCCAGGCTGGTCTCCAACTCCTGACCTCAAGTGATTGATCCACTGGCCTCCACCTCCCAAAGTG